GAATTTCGTTTTGTCCTTCGGTAGTTGTATTTTTTAACGGGATTCCTAAAGTAGTTGCGTTTAATATATTAGATAGGGGATTTAGAGCAAGACAGAACCACAGTGGGCTTAAAGCATCTCCCTGAAAGATACCTCTCTGAATTTTTATTGGGAAGGTTTCTACTAATTTACTGGGCGAAGTTATTCTTAATACAGTGGTCCAAGTTGTCATCATGACCTTCAGGAATGTTACTATAGTTGGATGTATTTTGTATATCTCTAAAACTTTTACAAGCCATGAATGGGGAACAGAGTCGTATGCTTTTTTGTAGTCAATATACATACTAAACAAATCGGTTTTGCTTTTTTGTACTTTTTGAAGGATAACTGAGTCTATGATTAATTGTTCCTTGCAGCCTTGGCTGAATTTGCGACATCCTTTTTGTTGTTCGGCTAAGATATTATTAGTGTCGATGTGTTGATATATTAGTTCAGATATACAAGATGTGATAATTTTGTACAAGGTCTGCAAGCATGTTATTGGTCGGTATTTTGCTGGATTTGAGAGATCATTACGATCTTTAGGTATCATAAAAGTTGTACCTGAAGTTACGTAGGACGGTATTGTTTTAGGATCCTGTATGAAAGTATTTATGTAATTATAGAGAAAACTATGGGTAGATGTAAATTTTTTGTACCAATAACTATGAATGTTGTCTGAACCGGGTGCTTTCCAATTATGTAAACGAGAAAGTACTTTATGGAAAATTACTGGGGATATGTGATCAAATGTCATTGCTTGAATATTTGTGTTGCTGTTTGTCAGTTCTGTTTGTATCCACTCTGCTTGGGCGTTATGTTCGATTGGTTGTTCCCAAATTCCTGCCCAGAAGTTTTGTAACGTCTCTGAGTCAGGGTAGTTATGATCAGGGTTGTTATCCTGAACGTTAGATGTCGCCTGTCTAATATTGCGGTAGAAGAGTTTTTCATTGTGGGTGAATTGAATGTTTTGTAGTTTTCTTTGGGCACAAGCTTTGTATCGTTGTAGTCGGCCTGCTACGACTGACAGTTTTTGTTTAAGAGTGTCTAATGTGTGAGCTGCTTGTTTATTTGGTTCTTCATGAGCAGTGTGGATTCTATATTGTTCTAGTATCTTGTTAACGTGTTTAATTATTTTCCTACTTCTATTGCCATTGATGAATTGTGTCATTTGTGCTATCTTTGAACGTAAATCATTTAATTTTCGTTCTAATCGCGTCTCCCAGTTAGGTTTATATTCTTTTTTTGCCCTTTGGGTGACTTCTCTTGGTTGAAGGGTTATCTTTGCTCCGTTAACTTTTGCCGCAGTCCATGCCGCACAATATATAGTAGTTTGTAAGGTATAGAAGTCAATTTCTTTGTTAACGTTTTCTGGTAATATTATTTTGTTTAGGTAGGTAACTATACGCGCTAGTTTTTTAGAAGGTTTTTGTTTAGGAATAAAAAATCTTTTTGTAGGGCTAGTTTCTTTAAAATATTGGAATGCTTGTTGGAACGTCTCATCTATTAGTGGATCCCTATCTAGGTTTGCTTGTGGGTTAGGTTGTATTTCTTCTGCAATGTTGATTTCAGTATGATTTAAAGTAAGTGAAGGTTCTTGTGTTGAGCTGATGTCAATGCTGTTTATAAATTGAGTTTCAGAATTACTGTTGCGGTTTGGGTTTACTAGCGTCGTTACGCTTGTAAAGTTGGTATAGTTATAGTTAAAATTATGTAGTCGTAATTCTTCAGATACTTCTAGTTTTAATGAATTTAATCTGTCACTAGTGACGTAATTATTGTTCACAATTGCTCTCCTTTGATCAGCTATTCGTTGTTCGTTAAGATGAGCAAGTGCAGGAAATCTGTTGATAAAATCTTCATACATGCGTCTTCTATATGCTGTTTCGTTTCTGCCTAAATCTGTAACTCGATAATAAGAACGCATTATAGCTTCATTTAGTTCACTAGTCCATCTCATTCGGGTCTGCGTTCTATTTTTAGTACTATGTGTTTCTGGGGTTCTAGGTTGCATTTGGATAGATTGTGTGAGTGTAAGTATTTGTTGTACATGGTCGATAGAGTTATGTGACTGTTGGGTCGAATGATTCAACTGTAGACGATCTAACTCTTCTTTTACGTCGTTTCGTATCTCTTCTATAGTTTTCTGTGGAAGTAGTTTATTGTTTATTATGGCTCTACGTTGGTCTCCTATTCTCTGTCGACTAACCTGCATGTTCGGGAATTTTTCTAAAAATTTTATGTGGAGTGGTTCAAGATAAGTTTTTCTGTCTGTATCTAGTGCAGTCAATTGAAGGTAAGTGCGCAGTATGAACTTATTCATTTCAGGTGTCCATCGTCTGCGCGTACTTGAGGCGCTTGTAGTGGGTGCAGGCTTAGAGTCAAGGTTGACTTCCTGCACAACACTATCAAGCGTGCTGGTGGTGGACAAGCTAACTGATTTTCTTGTCACGTAAGAGGGTCGAGTCGAAGGGATGGATGAAAATAATGAAATAGTATCATCGCCCGTGGAATATTATTATTATTATTATTATTATTATTATTATTATTATTATTATTACTAGCTCCCGCTTCTGCAGCACCTGACTTAGGTGCTCTGATGATGATGCTGCAGGATCAGGCTCGCCGACAGGAGGAACAGGCCAGTCGGTTGGAAGAGCAGCTGCAGCGCGGACAGGAGGAACAGGTCCGTCGGTTGGATGAGCAGCTGCAGCGCGGACAGGAGGAACAGGCCCGTTGCTTGGAAAAGCAGCTCAAACGCGATAAGGAAGAGCAGATGCTTCTCATGAAGGACCTTCACGCTACCTTCGGGAAAGAGATAAAGGAGGTGAAGGATAGGGTTGCTCAACATGACAACCGCCTGTTGGAAGCTGAAACCCGAATCGACCTGACTCAAAATTGGGGATGGAGTTACAGCTCCCGTGGTAGCTACAACACCTTCGCTACGTGGATTCAAAGTGCCACCGTTCGACGGGACTTCTTCCTGGTCGGCCTACAAAATCCAGTTCGAGGCTGTCATGAAAGCGAGCGGCTGGAATAAAAGTCAGGCCATGACTGCTCTCACCCTAGGCCTGTGCGACCAGGCCTTAACTGTTCTGGAAGCTCTCGGAAAGGAAGTGACTTACGAGTAGCTCCTTGAGGTGGAGAAGCTGGTTCGAAAAGCGTACCAGTCTGTACCTGCGCTCATTGTAGGGAACCTGGTGCAGACATTCATCGACGGCATCCGCGAACTTGAAGTCAGAGCTGCTGTGAGGCTCGGGCATCACGAGACGTTTAAGGACGCCTTGACCCATGCACTGGAGGTGAAAGCCGTGCGGCAGGATCATCGTTCCCTCCGCGTCAGGGAGGTTGCAGCAGCTACAGTTCAGGACCGCAATAACGGCTACAGCCCTAGGTGCTACGGCTGTGGGAAAAGGGGCCATCTTCGATCCAGCTGCCCTAAACGAACTGTAGAAAAAGGTGATCGATCTCGAGAGGGTAGTGTGGCTAACAGCACCGTCCAGCAACAGCAGGGAAACTGGCGGGTGCTGACTGATGTTAGAAGAGGTACTCCTAAGATTGTCCATGTGGATTGACTGGCGCGTTATTATGCGGCCAATAATGCTCGGGACGAGCATGTCTTAGGAGGGGGCAGTGTTGCGCGCCACTCTTAATGTCTTATACATGGCAACACTAGTTACACTAGCGCCCTCTACTGTCGAGTAGCAGAACTAGGAGAGTCAAGATCCTTCCAGAAATTTCGGGACCGATATGTACTCGAACATTCTAGATGTCGCTACAGTAGAAGGTTCTGGAAACTATCTGAGGCCCTATATAAGGCCGGTATAGACCACGACGAAGGCAGTATTGAATTGGCGATACAAGAGAATACTTCGAAGCGAAATAACTGCGAGCTAAAGTGATTGTGTTTTATTATTAGTGTGGTTTTAGATTGTAATTAGTGTTGTGTAATTAAAGTGTCAATTTAGGCAATTCAATCGGCAGTTTTTAATTGTCTCGAACCCCAAGCTCGTAACAATACTATATTACTATTAGCCCTGCGGTGTGGTTGCCTTCAAACAGTTCCAATGGGTCGGAGAAATGTGGACCGACATCTGGCATGGATAGCAGCACGATTGCCACATGCACTATGTGTTTTAGATTGATTTGTGGTTTCCATCCATCGACACAGGTTGTGTGCATACATAGTGCGTACGTATAAATTAGAGTGCACCTGATTTTTTTTTCTTTATAAGATGAACAACCGTGACATCTTTCACGTCCATCTTTAAAATGGTCTGTTCTGACAGCAACATTTTATTCGAATAATGTGCTTCGTTGCATTCCTCGGGGGAGGCCTATGTTCAGCAGTGGACTTGTGAAGGTCTGTAATGATGACGAATGATGATGATGAATGTGGTTGCAATTGTGGCTAGCCGCTATTCGGTTAACCGCAAGCTCAACCCCATCTTGCTGTCAACCCATCAATTTATTTTTATTTTTCTTTTTATAGAATAAGGGTGACAAACGAGCACTCAGTCCACCTGATGGTAAGTGGTTGCTGTGGCCCATAGACATCTACATCTATTTTCGTTTACGAATTAAAATGCAGATGCGTTGTCAGCCATGAGGACAAAGATGGAATGCCTTTTTACCAGTAAAAAGGGTCTCCAGTTCTCTACACTCACCATACGAAACACAGCAGCATTAAGCTGCTATTTTACGCTGGTATTCTGTGAGAGCGTGGTCCTTCCCCGGTCGAGCCGACCCATTCGTGCTACAACTATACTATGTATTAATATAGCTGCAGCATGGCTCTACCTATCTATTATATCTATCTATTTGGTTGATTAATAACTATTAATAAATAGTTATTAATCAACCAAATGACTAACACGATTTAAATAACCGCAACAGTACGTATGTGCCTTTAGTTTTCATTAAAATTGATCAAGAAGGCATTAACATAGAAACAATCCTTAGTAAAATATTATTTGGCATACTCTTGTAAGCTCCGTTGCAAATGCTTTGTCAGGTTCCTGTTGTGATCCGCCCCCTCCAGCAAGCTTTGATGACGTGATATAGCCTTACGCAGCGTTTTCGAAGTCTTATGCACGGATTTAGTAAACATGGTCGCGTTTTCCTCCACTGTAGAAATAGTTTTTAATTAGTACGCTTGCTATATAATCACTAACATAACATAACGTAACATAGTAACACTGTGTTGTTGACGCCTCGTTTGAAGGCCGAACCACAAACCGAACATAAAAAGTATACGTACTTATTAATAATATACGGTGTTGTTTTTCCTAGGGGTCAGAATGTGATTGAGTATAAAACTGTTGGGTGTAGTGCTGTTGGGTATAGTAGTGATGTCAGTAATAGTGTAGGTACTCGTTTTTGGCTAAGCAAGGTCGTCAAATTGCTACTTCGCTACTCCATCTGTCAAGGGTAGATCAAAGGAAAATAATCTTAAACGAAAAGAAGGGGGGAGACAAATATATTCTGGGACTTATGACTTCAGACCACAACAATGGATGACTAAATGCTGCTTGCTTGAAGCTACAGCAACATTATGGTAGGATACAGACCGCGAACTCAAAAAGTCGAGGGTTCTAGCCCGCAATTCACCAGGGATAATTAAGTAAATAAAACTTGGATAGTTCTGGTGGAAAGTTGATGAGAAAATGAAGCATTTTTTTCAATGTAGTTGCTTTTTATGTATTACGAAAATAAAATCAAAGTAATATGTTAGGTATTTTATGCATTCTTTATAGAAAAACCGCCATATTAGTTGTTTAATACGGTTTATAATGCATATAGCTGGAAGTTGGAAAATAATATTTAAAAAAAAACTTTATATTTTTATTGCTTAAGTTTCATCATCACAGTTTAGCTGTGGCAAAGATGGTGTCTTTTTTGCGTCTGTGTATGTTGTATTTTATGGTTAGTTATTATTCTGAGATTTTAAGGGCGCAGTAAACCATGCGACAAGAAGAATGTTGGCTATGACAGTGGATGGATTTAAGAGTAGTGGTAGGACTAAAAAAAATGGCGTAAGAAAGAGGAAAATAAAGAGATGAAGCCTAATAATAGAGAAGAATGGAAGAGGAAGATGGCTTTGCCGAAAAATCCTGGGATAAGGGCAGGAGGAAGAAGAGTAAGTTGTATTGTATTGCGGCCAAAGAGGTTATTACACAAATAAAATATTTTTATTAAGAAAAACTGACTATAGTGATCAGTTAATAAAAAATTAAATTATACGTTCGTGCACTTAGACAATCAACCATAATAAACGTTTAGAAAACATATTTATGGAATTATTGGTTTATGTACCTCGAAATGTGAATACAAAATGAATACGAATGTTTTCTTTTTTTCTTCACAAAACTGAAATGGCAAAATACATACTGTCCACCAGATACATGCAGCCAAAGAAGGTGGGCATCAAACAAAGAAATAAGGATACAATTTTTTTTACTATTCAAACGAGCACACAGTCCACCTGATGGTAAGTGGTTGCTACAGCCCATAGACATCTACATCTATCCTCAATAAAGAATCCAAATGCAGATGCGTTGTCACCCGTGAGAATTAAGATGGAATGCCTCATTTCCAGTAAATAGGGTCTTTGGTTCTCTACACTCACCATACGAAACACAGCAGCGTTAAGCTGCTATTTTACGCTGGTATTCTGTGGGAGCGTGGTCCTTCCCCAGTCGAGCTACAACTATACTACTAATATAGCTGCAGCATGGCTCTACCACGTAAATTGATCGAAAATGCGTTGTCACCTGAGGACTACGATGGAATACCTCACAAGCTGCCGCTCTTTTACCGGCTCTCCATATGAATGTAGGTACTCTTCAGGCCGGAACACCACTATTTGGCAGACCGACCATTTATGTAGGCCGACGGTGGGAAGTAGTATCAAAGGAAATAGATGTCTGGTACTGCGATGGCCAATTAGACTGCCAAGCGTAGCGTTCAACAGTAGATTGTTCATGGGCTGATATGGACGAGATGATAACAGGAATGTGTCTTAAAACTGATATGAAGAACGTCAGATTATGAAATAAAGTAAAATAAAATGAACATTTACACTCTTTGAAAGAATCTTCTAGAATTTTAGTGACATGTCTGAGGAGGCGACGATGGGATCGCTCCAGTATCGGCAGGTAGGACGTAGAGAAACTCTGGGTGAAGCAGCTTCGAATCACCTCCTTCACACATTGTTTTGTTGCTGCCACTACGCGATCTTTTAAAGCCTAAAAAATAATAAATAGCTTCCTCGTTCGTGTTACGTTTAGCAAAGAAGTGGAATAATTTGCCCGCATCTGTCTTTTTATGCGATTATGATGTGGAAGTCTTCAAAGCAAGAATGAATAGGTTTTTGCTAAGCAAAGCCAGTACGCTTTACAATTTTCGGCTTTATCACCACTTACCTACTCTCAGGTGAGGTGGTAATCAACCACTGCTTTAAACTGGTATAATAAAATAGTGAAACAAGTCGTACAATAAAAATTTTTGTACAACCGACTTCTATATAAATAAGACGAGAACTTCATCAATGTAGTCGAAATCGATTAAATACGCATTATTGAGGATAACTCAAAAACTACTGATCAGATTTTGAATGTGGTGTTATTAAGATAGACAAAGACCGTTTGTTTTTTTTTAAATCTCCAACTTTATCGGATAAAACATTAGTCTAAATCCCTCCTAATATTGCTTTCTATCTGAAAGTAAAATTCACACACAGACAGGCAAAAACTTTAATAATGGTTATTTATGTCATGGTTATCATGTAAATAACCTCATGAGCTTAAAAGAAGCTAGTTATTTCAATATTACTGACATAAATTTCAACTTATATCAGGTTATTTGCAATGATATTAAGACTTAAATACAAACAAAAATCAATATATATATATATAAGTGATTCACACATTTGATGTTAGATCATAGACGATGAAATAAGCTGCTGTATGTTATTGAGGGCATCTTCGAATTTTTCTGCCACCACCGCCTTCTGGCGCCACTTGGAATGAGGTGAGCGGGGGAAGCTAATTTGTTAGAAAAGTGTACAGATAAATATATCTTTTTGAAACATTAGTTATATTTTATATTACTTAGATTAGAAATGTATAAATTAAACTACGGATAATACTTTTGTAGTGGAATCAAAAAACGTTACCAAGTTGTGAAAAAAAAAATACAGTACTAAGGCATTTTTTTGTGTGTATAAGTACACTACAGACTTTTCAATGTTAAAAGTATGACCCTATTACAAAATGTATGACCATCTGCATAACAAATAAGTTCACCTCAGTCCCAACTAGCAACATCTGATGAGCGTAAGGTTATTAGCCCTCATTGGTATGATATTAAAAAGGTACCGACCGCTTGATACAAAAACCTGTAATGGACTGATAGATGCGATGAGTATTGCTCATTAAAGTGCTATGTTAGTTATTAACTACGGAATATGTACGTATCATAATATACTTATTGAACGTAATTTCTTACATCGTCCTGAAGAAACTTGGTTAGTGCGTCCTTAATACCTCGTTCCAGACACTGTGAAGGTTTTAATTCTATGGCGTCCAATAAGCTCTTAGCTCGGTCATTGATGTCTTCGAGCTTCATAGGTATAATTTCCTTAAGTGTTGATTTCATGAGCTCCTTAAAACTAAATCAAAAGTGATTAAAAATATAAGTTACAAATTAAAGTATAATTATCGGTGATTTTTTTTGTGTATTTTATTTTATTTTGTAATTTTAGTATAGATGTAAGCGATTTGGTTATATATATTGTAAGCTTATATTTTATCAATACCTAAATGAATAATGTTACTATTACCTTTTGCTTTAAATTTGTGTGGTCGCAATCGAGACGATAAGTTTCAAACTAACAAACTAACTTAGCTAATATAACAACAATAAACAGACAACTTTAAAATGTATGAAATTAATGTAAAGTCACGTAACGTAACTTTGATTTCATTCATTTATATACTTGCCTTAAAAAGGGGCCGATATTTTGTATATAAACACAAATTGCTGGTTTTTGTTGGTCTCGTTGTATTTCATGGTTGTACTGAATAAGATTGCAACTTGTATCTTTTTTGAAGAAGTAAGATTGTCAAACGAGTACACAGCCCACCTGATGGTTGTAGATTCTGTGATCCATGGACATCCTATCCTTAATTAAGAATTAAAATGTAGATGCGTTGTCAACCCTGGGGATTAAGATGGAATGCCTTGTTACCGGTAAACAGTCTTCGGTTCTCGCCCCACACCACACTTATTATAGCGGCATTACGGTGCTACTTCATGCCTTCTTTCTCGTCCCACAAGCCAGAATATAGCAAAATTATGCCGATATTTCACGCTGATATTCTGTGTGACCGTGGCCCTTCCCGGTTGTGTCCATCTATTGGTACTGCAACCATAATGCATTGCAACATGCTTTACCAAGTCTGAAACCAAACTAACTCTGATCTTATCGATAGGTAAGGATTGATTGGAAGGTCCGTGGCTAGCGTCCACATTTGTGACTCTAAGTCTCATTACATATGTAGTTTGTAACAGAATTTCGATAATTTAAAATTAAAAATTTTGTACAACCGACTTCAATATAAATTATTAAGAATAACTCAAAAACTATTGACCTTGATCAAATTTAAATGGGACCACATGTGACGCACCAGCTTTCAAATTAAAAAAGAATCGTCGAAATGGGTTCACCCTTAAAAAGTTATGAGGTAACACACATAAAAAAAACATACAGTTCAATTGTGTACTGTCTCCTTTTTGGAAACGGTAGAAAATGTAGCTGTTTAAGAGGTGGCAGGAATCATGTTCTGTCCAAGAAATCGTTTGGGTAGATATCATCCTCTTATCTATTTCTATCTCCAATTAGCAATGATTGTATTTCTGTTATCTAGGTATAGCGAGCCAATATGATTACAGGCAATGATGCATTCCATCCTAGCCCTTAGAGCTGATAACACATCTAGCGTCATCGTATCCTTCTTTGTTTGTTTGCTGCAGGTGTCCATGGACTGCAGTAGTCACTTACCTATCATTTGCTGATTGTAAGTTCGTTTGTCACTTCAGTTTTATAAAGAAAAGTGATCAAGCGCGAATATAGAATTGAAGTTTTGCCACATCCCAGACACTCCATACAACGCTTCCAAATTAATTACCTATTACTATACTATTATATTATATACCTATTACTATACTAGTATAAATACCTATTATTATACTATAATATATACCTATTACTTTACTATCATAAATACCTAGTACTATTACGTATTCTGTGGTTTTACTCTACATTCTTTCATCTCGAGTTTTGGCGGGAACTTGACCGGCGGCGGTTTGCTGCTCCTGTATTATTGTTTAAATAATGGTTTGAAGTGAACTTTGATATGTAAAAGTGTTTGCGCATATGAACTATTAGTGGAAACTGTGAAACAAGTGCTCTGATGGTGATGTGATTCTCATAATAAGTTGTCTGTCTGCTTAGGCGACTTGAGATACCATCGCCAACCGTCAGCTGCGTCTGATGGCTCAAGTTGCCGTCAAAATCTCCCAAGGGCTGCATTACATACATTGTGACGCATCAACATATTGTGAAGCAGTATACTATGAAGGATAATTATTATAACATATTGTAACTTCAGGCTCAGAAGGGCTAGATCCCAGAGCCGTAAAGCCAGTTATTAAGAAGAAATCTTCGATCTCATTGTAACATTCGAGTAAAGGCAAAATTATACGTTAAAATAAATCTTAGGGGAAGGGGGAGGTTGATAAAAAAAAAATAAAAAAAATATATACTTACGGAAGATCTTCAAACGATTGGTCTGCTGAGACCGTTTTAGGTTCATCTATGGTTCCATTAAACAAATAACTCTTTATATCCTCTTTAATTCCAATCAATAGCTTTTGCTGTTCAAGTAGTAAATCTACGAAATAAAAGGATAAAATGAGTGAGAGGTCCGTTATAAATTCAATGCTTTGGGTGTGAATACAACTATGCTTTAAAAAAGTTACTTATGAAAACAATTACGATGGTTTTCGACTTTAGCGGAATACGTATCAGTTTACATTTTATTTTATAGAAGACGGGGCAAACGAGCATGCGGCTTACCGGATGGTGTCTTCCTTTAGAAATGAGTTGGGGGTGACTCAAACTTTAGGCCTGGTCAGTTTGAATAGCCTATCATGTAGAGGATGTCACGGGGCTCATGGTTGACTAGGGGCAAAAAGTTCTCATTACACTCCTAGAGGGTCAAAATGGCCAAAAACCAAAAAATTGGGGAGTGGCTCGAACTTTAGGCATAGTCAGTTTGAATAGCCTATCATGAAGAGGATGTTATGAGGGTCATGGTTGAATAGTGGCAAAAAGTTCTCATTACACTCCTAGGGGGTCAAAATGGCCAAAAACCAAAAAAAAAGAAGGCTGGCTCGAACTTTAGGAATAGTCAGTTTGAATAGCCTGTCATGAAGAGGATGTTATGAGGGTCATGATTGAATAGTGGCAAAAAGTTCTTATTACACTCCTAGGGGGTCAAAATGGCCAAAAACCAAAAAATTGGGGAGTGGCTCGAACTTTAGGCATAGTCAGTTTGAATAGCCTATCATGAAGAGGATGTTATGAGGGTCATGGTTGAATAGTGGCAAAAAGTTCTCATTACACTCCTAGGGCATCAAAATAGCCAAAAACCAAAAAAAGAAGGGTGGCTCGAACTTCAGGCATAGTCAGTTTGAATAGCCTATCATGTAGAGGATGTCATGGGGGTCATAGTTGAATAGGGGGCAAAAAGTTCTCATTACACTCCTAGGGGGTCAAAATGGCCTAAAACCAGAAAATTAAAAATTCTTATTTCGGATATAACTCCGCCTTCTTCGGAGGTTCTTACACAGTCTTTACTTCCCGTATCCCACTTGTTATGATAAGTGAAATTAGTTTCATCACTATAAACTAATTTCACTATTATAATATTTGTGAATGCAGCGAACATCATTTTTTAAAGATCTATTTTGTCTCATTACCTGTATTCACAAATAAATAAATTTGAATTTGACTTTAATAGAAAAGTAATAACAAGAATGTCCTCCAGATTGAATTTCGGTCACGGCGGCCAGCCTCAACGGGGACTAGCCATCGGCGCAGGACAGGAGTATAGTGCCCAAGTGTATGTGTTAGCACAGGTGCACTCTCTATTCCCTCACTCTCATAGTCCGATGGGACGGTAAACCGAAACGATCGGAGAGAGATCAGGCGCAGGACCAACGGCTTTACGAGCTTTCCGAGGCACGGGGGTGAGACACCGCGATTTTCCTGACTCCGGGCAGCTACTGAGAATTTCTTGATGGAAAAACTCAATAACTGATATTTTTTGGCCGACCTGGAATTCGAACCCGGAACCTCATGATCAGCAGTCCCACTACTACAACCACGAGACCGACGAGGCAGTCGATAATAGAAAAGTAAAATTAATTGGAACCAGTTTTACGTTATACGAGGTGATTAATATAAGTACCGCTGATTATCGGACAACATGAGACCATCACGACACCCATGAGACGAGATGGGGTAATTGCATCACGTGTTGCATCATGTTCATAAAAACACTTTACAACCTTATAAAGTAAAAAAAAGGCTATAAACATTCTAGTAAAAATTGATATGCATGCACCCACCGCCTTAATATCCTGCAGACCGATTTCCGGTTATGTCAGTCAGTATCAACAGAAATTAGCCATCTGCACAGTACAGGTGTATCTATTCCGTCAGTTTTACTTTCATATTAATAATTATTATAACATGGAATTACAATATGTTGCTGAACAGACCCAAAATGAATGCAGGACATACGTAAAAATAATAATACTTTAAATTTATAGATATCCTTATAAAACCTCACCAAAAAAGAAACACTAACCTACGCCTATAGATATATCACCAATCTTACCGCTGATCTTCTCAATTTTGCGTTCCAGTATAGATATAGATTCAACGTCCTGCGTCGAATTTAGCGCCGAAGTGTTTATTTTTTCGTAAATAAGATATTCGTGTTCCTCTCCAAAAGATTGTTCCCACTCAAGCTCATTATCGGAGGCATGACTCCTATCACAATTTTCTTTGTATTCGGCAAGACTTCGTTGGAATACTTTGAGCCCGTTGCTCACATTGTCGAGGAATTCTAAAGAGCTCAACGATTTTGAACGAATCAAATTATTTGTTACTTCTAATTTTAAGTTATTCATTACGTAGTATTTATATTTTAGAATTGAACTGCAGTAAAAATCTCAGTGTAGGTACTTTAGTAATAACTTAAACTTTAGATATAATTTTTTGTTTTCCTACCCTCATTACTACATATAGCTATGCGTTTATAAATCTAGATGTATAATATTGCCGTAGAAATGTTTAAAAATTTGCCTTACATTAACTGAATTCATTAAAGCAAAGTTAACTTTTAAAACTACACTATCATCTATCTTTATTTTATCAAAACATATAAATAAATTGAAGTGTCTGTCTGTAATATTGATATAACTGACTTCTAATAAACTCTGGGGTTTATTTGCATGCTATTAAGACAGAAGTGAATCATTTTATTTTTAATTTTTTCTGTCTGTCGGTCTAGGCTAATATTCGGATTGGCTAAACCAATTACGATAAAACTCTACGAACAAATATAAAGCAACGCCAGGAGGGATCTAGGCTATACTTTATCTGAAAGACATGACTTTTTTTTTTGAAAAAATAAATAATTGCTAACATAAATGCTCTATGATTACCTTAAATATAAATAACACCACATTCATCATTTTATACCTGGTAGAGCCATGCTGCAGCTACATTATGGTTGTTAGCACGAATGGCTGAGGAATGACCACGCTCTCACAGAATACCAGCGTAAAATAGCAGATTAACGCTGCTGTGTTTCGTATGGTGAGTTTAGAGAACCGGAGACCCTTTTTTACTGGAAACGAGGCATTCTATCTTAGTCCTCATGGATGACAACGCATCTGCATTTTGAATCGTAATCAAAGATAGATGTAGATGTCTATGGGCCACAGCAACCACTTACCATCTGGTGGACTGTGTTCTCGTTTGTCATACTTATCCTATAAAAATAAAATCATAATTCCAATCCAGGCGAAGCCTGGTCGGGTCACTTGTACATAATAATATTTCTTTGTTTGTCCCGTATGAGTCGCTGTACCATTCCTCCGATTACTATGACACTTTGGTGAATAGTAGCAGCGTGTTTGTCTGCGAAGGAAGATTCCAAGGGTATGGAAAACCACTATCATCTTAGTTCACAGGCAACAAAAGGCATCCCACCTTTATTGTTTGTAGTTTTCTGCAGCTGTCTATGGGAAGCCTTCTAAAATTGTAAACACCGTGAGTGCAGTTTACATAACTTTCACAGGCACAAACATCCTGAGCCTCAACAATGATTTGAAGGCCATACGAATACTTGTTCCGTGCGGGATTCAAATCCCCCGCCATTGCGCTGCAACTCATTGCAAGTCACTGTGCTACTGAGCCGTTAAATTTAACTTAGGACGTGTGCGTCGGATTTGACACCGGTTCTTATGCGCCTTTATCGGTACTCCTACTCTTAAGGGGGTGTGACGAATTCTTAGAAGATGCCATGCTGCATCTATATTATGGTTGTAGCACGAATGGGTCGGCTCGACCGGGAAAGGACCACGCTCTCACAGAATACCAGTGTAAAATAGCAGCTTAACGCTGCTGTGTTTCGTATGGTGAGTGTAGAGAACCGGAGACCCTTTTTACTGGAAACGAGGCATTCCATCTTAGTCCTCACGGGTGACAACGCATCTGCATTTTGACTCTTAATCGAAGATAGATGTAGATGTCTATGGGCCACAGCGACCACTTACCTACCATCAGGTGGACTGTGTGCTCGTTTGTCACCCTTATCCTATAAAAAAAAGACAGCTTTCGTACACTCAATCTCTAAAAAAGTTTACCGCTCTGATCCGTCTAACTACAGGTCTATCGCCATCACCTCCTTGTTTTCCAAAATAATGGAATCAATTATTAACCGCCAGCTCAGTCACCGATAATATAGTTTGTATGGGGGTCACTCAGATATTGTAGGTTTTCTGCCACGCACGTCGTGGAAATTGCTGTCTCCAGCTGTTTTTCCAAACCTATAAGAGTTTGGGACCTTCAAGAAAAAAGCCTACTTCTTTCTAAAGGCCAGCAACGCACCTGCGATTTCTTCGATGTAGCCGTTTGCTCCTTTGTCTGTTTTATTTTTAAAAAAAAACATACCTACATACACCACTAACACATTCGTTATAAATATGGGTAAGCTGAAAAATTGTGAATGAAGTAATAGGTGGGTCTATTACTTACACAATCATAATACCACCATCACATAAGCTGGCTTTTAGGACATGCTAGGCAACTAACACAGTTGGTATATTCTTTTTGTTATAAGTCCCACATGGATTAAGAGACAATAAATATACGGAATCATAATCATAAATCATTTATTTGCTTGAAATATGGTTGGTACACAAGACTTTAAATTAAGTTATACGAGTAGCACAGGACATATTTCACCCTCATTACGGGCATGCAAAATTGAAGTAAAACAACAATTATTTGAATAATATTATAATTATTAGAACTATTTGAATAACAAATTATAAACACGATTTGAATTACAATTATTACAATCTTTTAAATTTCAATTGTTTGAATTACGGTGATTACAATTACCAGGGCCTGATTTACCCACAGGCTAACCAGGCTGGAGCCTAGGGCGCAAGGTTCGAGGGGGCTCTGAACTTGTCTTTGCATTTGCAAGCACCACTTATGTACAGTAGAAAATTTGGTATTATATTCTCGATAAATAATGGAGTACGTACCGCAAGTATTTTACTTGTTGCTTTCTTTCTTTTTGGTACAAAACAAATAAATAGATTGTAAAAATAAGACTTGGAATTATTTGGCACCTTTCATCTTTCGTTGACTGACTGGACGTGATTTAAAGATTTTAAACTGCTCAACCTCTCTTCTCTACCTCTAATTTTATTAAGGTGTTTTGCCTAGGCTGTCCAAGAGAACTTCTTTCAGCCATTTGTTCCATCTCTGCACAGGCAGAACGACTCACTGGCCCATGCCGCAAAGGAGAAAGTCAATATTTTAGGTTTCCGCCCACTATTCCGCGGTGTAATTGCTCCACACTGGATGTGCGGTTTACACAGCCCTCAGTGCAAAGCACTCCTCTCCCTGAACGTCAACAAGCCGAGTGGGCCTGATGGAGTTCTTCCTATTGTGCTGAAGACGAGTGCTCCGGAGTTAGCACCGAGTCTAACGCGCCTTTTCCGGTACTCCTACTCCCTAAGCCTAATCTTGAACTTATGGAAGACAACTTTAGTGCACCTGAACTTTAAAAAGGCAGAACTGTCGGATTATCACCATCGTCTTCTTTTTCTCCAAAAATAATGGAATCCATTATAAACTGCCAGCTCATAAGGACCACCAACTTCTAGTTCTAATCTTCTAATTTACCTGACTCATAGATGAGTGGAAACAGTAGAGTCCAAGAGGGAGGCATTTGTGGTTACTTTGGACGTAGTGTAGGCCTTCGATAGGCTTTGGCACAAGCCTTTCTTTAGAAGCTTCCTTTCTATGGGCTTACCGAGAAATTGTACAATAGGATTTTGGCCGGCCGAAATGACAAAGAGAGATCTCCCACCGAGCAAGGTGTTCAACCCGGGGAGCGTCCAACGCTACCTGTGTTAGTAGAGAGCTATTCTATATATAGTACAGTAGGTAGTTCGGAACATTGACAGGGTTATTTAGGCTTCGGTGCGTTTCGCTTTTGCGACGACAGCGCCGTCACATGATCATCAGTTTTCAGGAGGAGTGGATCGGAGCATCAAGGTCGTAGTAGACGGTGAATATACCGACTACGATCCTATTAATGCCAGTGTTCTACAAAGATTCGTGCTATCACCTACGCTGTTTCTTCTGTACATCAATTATTTGTTGCTGTTACTGGTTGTAACATTTATCGGAAACACGACATCGAGTATCGGAACAAACGTGTATCTGAAGTCGAGTCTTTAATAAACAATGTCTCGGATTGGGGACAACTCTAATCCAGTTTAAACTTCAGAAGACACAGGTTTGCGCGCTTACCGCTAAAAATAACCCCTTTCTTATATCTCATAAGGTACTCCATGCTGCTTCAGCTAGCTAGCTTCGCATTTCCGCGGTCATTTGCAAGGTAAGGCTAATTTGGCCTCTAAAATGCTTGGCGTCCTCAGCAGAGCAAGACAGTATTTCTTGCCGGCACACCGCTTGCAACTTTACAAAGCGCAAGTTCGCCCCACATAGAGAACACCCCAGTGCAGTGTCAGCTCCTTCCACTAGTCCGCAGTAAGCGAAGAGTGGCTCGAACCGTCGACGACCGAATTCTTTCTGGTCATTATCATCATCAGCAGTTGTTCATGGGCGATGGTCTACACTTACTATCAGGAAAATTTGTTTTAATGCGGATGAAATCGCGGAGTGGAAAGCTAGTAAACAACAGAATGAATAATAATAGTATTACGAAGTAAAACATAAAATTCTGGTAAGTATATTCGTGGGCTGGGCAGGCACAGACGGAACTGGCCGTTAAGGGAAGGGGGGGGGGGCATATTCAATAATTCATAGTTATCCTAGGGCTGTCGGGACTGTAAATCAGGCAATGATAATTATATAAATTATTGAATTATTATAATAGACTAAGTCACAGGAAATAAAAAGAAGAGTCGGTATCTTAGTGGGCACCAAGTCGGCAAGTGCTTTTATTCAAAAAATCTTTAAAAGTATACAAACTCTTATATATACTATATGGTAGGTCAGTCATTCCTTTGGGTAGAGTTACATATTAGAGGTGCTATATAGGCACAGTTTTTTTAAACAGTTCTAGATTAGGCACAGGCATTTTTAAGGGCATGTGGTTAATTTTACGTTTAAATGTATTGTCGTTAGTGGTGAAAAGATGACTGTGGTATTTAACAAAGAACATCGGTCACGGCTCATACATACTGTGACCTGCCTATAAAATACCGCGAACATGACTAGTGTATGGATTAATCCCTTCAACCTGGGCACAATCTAAATCCTAAATTGAAAATATATTATTTAAAAGCCGAGGATCATAGAACGTTACACATATATATTTCGTCACTGTTGAGTTTATGATGTAGCCATGACTGCA